TGTGTTACAGAAAGAGGTGGCAGTAGGTATAAGGCATGAGTAGCAGAGGCCACATGTAAGCAGCAGTCATAAGGTGGAAGGAGAAGAGTGAAAGAAACATGGTGAAATAGTGAAGGAAGAAAAGGAAGTAGAGGGAGAAACAGCTAAGAAAGAACTTAACTACAAGACCACAGTTGCTGACATTGAGACACAGAAAATTTTACTTTTCCAAGTGGCCCATTTGCCCAGTTCTTCTGGGATTCATAAGTATACTGCTTAACTAAGAGCATTGGCTTTGGGAATAGACAGATATGGAATATGATCCCAGCTACTCAAATTATTCAAGCTTGTTATCTCTCAGTAACTCAGTTTCCATGGTAAAATGGGAGTGATGAAAGTATCTCTCTCATGGGACTGCTATTCAGATTCAATGACATATTGCTTGTAAACTTATTATATTGCTTATACATATTAAAAGCTTAATGAATTTTAGCTATTGTTATTATTGTACTTATAATAAGGTCCCATCTGATGAAGTAACTAAAATGTGAATCTGTTCCCTGAACTCTAAAAGAGACTGAGCAACACATAGCTGTTATAACATAATGAATATCTCCTCTCAAAAATACATTTTGGAAATTTTTAGTAGGACTTAAGGTGTATCATTTCTAGTACTCAGCTTCTTTTTGGCCTAACAATAAAAAACTATGGGGAAAAGCTTGGGATTCCCCCAAGTAATCTGACAAAATGTTAAGCAGTTACTTTGATAACCCTAAGGGCAGACTGTGGCAGCAATGTTGCTGTTCACCACATATCCCTGTGTTTGGCCACATCTCCAGCCCCCTTGCATATAAGCAGAGTCATGTGACTTTGTTTCATCAGAGGCCTGTAAGCACAAATAATATGTGTCACTTTTCAGGCTGAAACATAAGAGAAGGCTCAAATTTTCTAAGCATTATTCTTCCCTGCTGTGTCATGTTATGATTCTACAAATGAGCAGGCCTTCTTCACCTAGTCCCTACATACATGAAGAGTGGGAAGGAAGCTCTACTTCTTCCATCTCCCCTCCCCACTCCCAGCATGAGCAAGAAAGAAACCTCTGTGTGGTAATCCTGTGGTCTTTCAGAGCATACTGAGTTTTTTCAGCATTACCTGGCCTAGATTAACTAATATAACCTCTTAAACTTCAAAACTTGTCCTGAACATTAGATAATAGAAATATCAGTGACAATCTCTTCTGATAATACATTGAGATGTATATCACAAAACTATGGAAAGAACAAAATGTCACTGTGCCTTACTTTTGCAATTTGACTTCTTATGAATTTCCCTAGAAATTAAACATCCAAGCTAGGCAGGTGTTTAGAAATGTTCTGTTTGACCATTGCGAATATCACCTTAACATTTTCTTGATAAATATCCATTTTTCTCTGGGTATTATGCCATTCTGGCTGGAGTCCTAGGCTTCATTCTACCCCTACCCAGGCGGATCCTTCACCTGTCATTGGCCAACCCATAAAAATCACTCTTTCCTCACCGAAGCCTAGACCACAGCAAACTCAACATTACCAGAGTCCTTTAATGCAGTAAAGATATGAGTAACTGACTTGGGAAGGTTTGACACAAAATGAGGCAGCATGAGAGATAACTGTGAAAAAGCTGTGCATTTACCCTTTGTATTGGATGCTTATGCAAAGGGGTACATAGTGGAATCCTAGTGAATAAATGTGTGGGCAGCTACAATATGAGGAGCTGAATTGGAAGTTGAATAAACCAAAACCAAATCAAACTTGTTGCTATCAAGTTGATTCTAACTCATGGAAACCCCAATTGTTAGACAGAGCTATTTCATAGGATTTTCTTGGCTGTAATCTTTATGGGAGCGCTGGTGGCATAGTGCCTAAGGCATTTGACTGCTAAACAAAAGGCTGGAAGTTCAAACTCACCAGCCACTCCTTGGCAGGAAGATTGGGCAATCTACTTCTGTAGGGATACTGCCTCAGAAATCCAAGGAGGGATTACTATGAGTCAGATCTGACTTGAGGGTAGTGAGTTTTTTTTTTTGTTTGTTTGTTTTTTTGTGATCTTTATAGAAGCAGATCATCATACCTTTCTTCCACAGCACCACTGGGTGGGTTTTCACTGTCAACTTTTTATGTTAGTGGTTGAGTGCAAACCATTTGGGCCACCCAGGGGTCTGGAGGTTGAGTAGAGTGTGCAATAAAATAAAATAAGCACAATGTCAATTGTTGCTGTTGTTGTTAGTGTGGCTAACGAAAAGAAATCCATAATAGAAATCTCTGGTTTGCAGAGTTGAGGCAAAAGTTTTGAGCCAAGTCATGCTGAGTCTCAGGAAAGAAAAAGACCAAAGACAGTGAAAACACATATAGTCAGTAAAGGGAAGTTTTTCTTACATAGGAATTTTAAATGACATAGGAAGATAAGCACTATCTTAAACAATACACGAATAATATCCATGAGTGTTAAGGGACATGGTATATTTTCACTGGTACTTTGGGAAAAAGTAAATCTTTTAATACATCAAGCATATCTATTTTAATTATCAATAAAACAACTTACTTAAAAAATTATATTCTTTCTCTGGTCAGTGCAAGTGAATTTTAAAATCATTTACAACTTTCAGAATATAAGACTATATTATGGAAGACAATAGTTTTTGTGCTTACACTGTCCATGTCAATCACTCTTATCACATGATCAGTCAGGAGTTTTCTGTGTCCATGTCCCAACCTCATGTAAGTGAGAATATAATTTTCCATTATATAATTATAAGATCTCTCAGGAATGAAATAAATTTGTATGCTGTATGTATGTGTAAACACATACACATATAATGGAGTGGGAATTAATTGGAGAAAAGTTTTCTTTAAAAAAAAAAACGCATTTGGTGCTATTGTGCAAGTTGCATTCATGATTAACCATACTTTTAAAGATACCCTTTTAATCGAGTTGATGTGATCAAAACTTAGCAGCAATTTCAGATCATTTGAGTATGATAGGCACTTGACTGCAAACCAGAAGGCTGGATGTTCAAACCCACTACCTACTCCTTGGAAGGAAGGTTGGGCAATCTACTTCCATAGTGATACTGCTTTGGAAATCCAAGGAGGGGTCACTACGAGTTGGGGCCAACTCAACAGCATATAACAACAACAATCGATACCTTTACAGATAAGTTTCTATATGAAATTTATAACTATTAAACTTTTAAATAGATCTTTGTGCTAGCATTATGTCATTCATTCATTTTTCCACTCCACAAATATTTATTAAGCTCCTCTGACACTGCAAGGAGCTCTGGTTATGTATCGGTGAAGGCATTTGGCTGCTAACTAAAAGGATGATAGTTCAAACCCACCATCTGCCCCATGAAAGAAAGATGAGGCAATCTGCTTCTGCAAAGATTTACAGTCTTGGAAACCCAGTGCAGGTCACTATAAGTTGGAATTGACTCAATGACAGTGAGTTTGGTTTGGGTTTGGTTTTATGATATTGCAGACATACTTTTAGGCACTTGAGAAGCAGTAGTGAGCAAAATAGACAAATTCTTTGCCCTAGTGATACTTAACACTAGGAAAGAGATAAAGAAGCAATAAATAAATAAGTAAATAAAGATGTCAGAGTTGGAAGAATTCTGAAAACTTTTAAATCTCTGTGAAATTATAATAGAATGATTTCTTTAAATTATTTCTTAACTTTTTATAGTAAATTGGAAATTTTAGACAAATATCAAGAAGAAAATTGAATAATTCAATTGTGAAATATAAAATTTATCCATAATTTCATCAAACTGTCTTTTGATCCTATCAACTTGATAAGGGAAAGTAGTAACAAATATATGTTGAGGGAAGATGCAATGTTTGGTATCTTGCTTTCCTTCACTTACCATGTTGGAATAATTTTTCTTTGTCTTTAAATAATCTTCAAAATATATCTTTCATTGCTGCAAATAATACAGGTTATATATAATTTTAATACTTTCATTATTTCTTTTTAAAAATTTCTATGATCATAACTGAAATTTATGTACACAAATCTTTGATAGCATACCTGATTTCATTTCTAGCATGAGGTGCTAGAAGAGGAATTATTGTGTTTGGAAGCATGTATATTTTGACACCCAAAAAACCCACTGCCATGAGTCCAATCCCCATTGGCTTTCTAAGTTTCTTTAGAGAAGTAGATTGCCCCATTTTCCTTCCGCGGAGTGGCTGGTGGGTTTAAGCCATCCACCTTCTGGTTAGCAGTCAAATCCCTTAGACACCGCACAAATGATGTATATTGTGAAGTAGATTTACAAAACGTTTGCACTTTCTCACTGTTATCTCAACAACATGAAATATTATGTAGATTTAAAAGTTCAGCCAAAACTGGACCTCAGTGATATTTTAAACTCTGTATCTCTGTTTATTGGTGAGGTTGATTTTCTTATGTTTTTATTATGTATTCAGCTTTCTTCTGTGAATTCTTGGTCAATTGCTCACCCCCTTTTTTCTATTAGGCTGTTAGTGCTTTTTTGATTTATTAGACAATTTATATATGAAACATATATTTGTTACCATTTTTTCCCCAAATGGTCATTTACATTTACATTTTGTTTAAATAGTTTGACATTCTGAAGAATTTTTATGCAATCAAATTTAATAGCTTATATTTTAAACACTATTTGTTAATAAAATAACCTATCATTTTCCCCATAGGTCTTGATACTTCCTTTCTCATTTATCATATTCACTCACACACACACACACACACACACACACACACGCATATATAGACACACAAGTGTCTATTTCAGGCTTGCATTAATCTATTTGAAAGATTCTGTTTTTAAGGTTGTGGGGACGTGATCGTCCCAGTACTTTATTTCCCAGATGTTACAAAATTACAGTAATTCTTGGGACTATCTTGACAGATGAGGGGAAAGAAACGGTGAGGAGGCACTTAGGACCCAGGGGAAAGTCAGGCTTCGTATAGGACACAGTCTCGGGCGCGCACGCCTCCTACCAAAATCACAGTTCGGTGGAGCCAGCTTTCATTCACAGCTTTCTAGAGAAATCTAAGCCCGAACCTGCCAGAATAGGGGATCTCACCCACCCAGCTCAGCAGCGAGGACACCTGCAGAAACACATTCCCAAAGCAAGGCTGGGCGGCCGTGTGAAGGTATTTGTTGCCTTTTTTTTTTTTTTTTTCCTTTCTGTGTGTGCAGCGCCACCCTGCCTTTCCCCCCCGCTCTTGCGATGCCATGGCTGCGGCGTTTCAGCACTTCGGTGCGTGGACAGCTCCCATCTGCAATCCTTCCGCACTCCACCCTTTCCGCATCCACTCTCCACAGCCTCGGCGGTCCATTCTCCTCCTCTGGGCGCCCGCGCAACTAGGGCTCCCTTAGACCATCAACACCTCCATCTCCACCATCACTGTCATGATCTCCACCATCACCAGCGCCGTAACTACAGTCAACACAACTGTGTCTTGTCACTTAGACAAAGCCCGAGGTCCGCAGGGTAGAGGAAAGCGCCCAAGTTTTCAAGCATAGGAGAGAAAGTTCAGGTGAAGACATCCCTGAAAACAAAGAGAGACACCTAATTGAGAGAAAAGGAAAGTGAAGGCAGGAGAGACCTGGGCAGGAGGACAGATGGGGAACTTGCCAGAAACCAGCAGTTAGCCAGCTGCCTTTCAGCAAATTGGGATTTGTTTAGTTTAGGGGATTAACATGGCCTGGGGCATAGCGCTATTCCTGTAAAAGAGAAATATATAAACTCAGTCCTGGTTTTCCAGTGGAGAATCACCAGGGAAAAGGGTGGCAGTGCCTATGACTCATATTCACCCACATGCCCATTTTCTTTCCTAAATGTTTACTGCAGAAACTCTGGAATTAAGTTTTTTTTTTTTTTTTTTCCCCACTGAAATCTTTCGTTAAATGTGAACCCCAAAGGTTAACTCAGCAGCCAGAATAAAAATTAAAATGACGGGTCATGATAATAACCTAACAAACGCAGCTGTCATTGGAAAGTGCTAATTGTTCAAATGTTTCTTCCTGCTTACTTCCTTCATTTCAATTTCCATATCTTAAACCTTTCATTGAACCAGAGAAGATAGATTCCTTACCCACATGGCCAAAGTGGTAATGATATTCAGAGCAGATGGCCTGGCTTTGTTCATGTCTAGTCAAGGACTGGCTTACATTTGGAAGGTGAGATTTTTGTGTGCTTTCTCAGTAATCAAGAAATAATGCCATTTTCCTATAATAGTGAAGGGTACTAGAGTGCAAACATTGAAAAGGCATTTTTATGTAATTGTGTTCTACCAAGCTCTGCTTTAAAGTGCTCTCATTTTCTGTCTCAGCTGAAGAGAAGTTGGAACATCATTCCAGTATCTGACTAATTTGGACTCTAAGGTCCAATTCCAAGTCATGACACCTATTTGATTTAGTCAGAATCATCTGTTTTATAAGAGCTAACAAACATCAGAAAATAAGTGCCCAAGCCTGTCATAAAGAAAAAATCTTCTGTGGTGCTCGTTTAGTCATTTTTCACTAAACAGCAAAGTATTGGGTTTTTGTTTGTTTGTTTTGGCAAATTGTTTTTCCTAAAATCAACATCTTAATTAAAAATAAAAGATAGAGCTACAGTCTACATTTTCAAATGCATATAATGTCAGGCCACATATAACAATCAAGTTTAAACCAGAACATAGGAAAGGTTCATTTTAAAATTGCTATTATATATTTACTCTTCCTCTTTACAAATAGAGAGTGAAGCAAGTTTTCTCTAAACCAGATTGCTCAACTTTAGTGGTAGTGCCAAAAATAAAGAATGGTCACAGATAGGTCTCTTCTCAAGGAAGTTTTGAGGATGAATTAGCTCAATATTCTTTTGAATGAAGACTGGTGCCATTATGTTAAACATTACTTAATGCTACTACTTACATAAACACGGGCATACTTCCACCTACCTCTAAAATTCACTCATGTGTGAACTTGAATCAAGAAACTAATGAAAATATTCAGTGGAATAGATTTTAGAAAAGCAGAAAATTTGGTCACTGATATACTGTCCCTGTATCCACAGTAATGAAGTAATGAAGACTTCTCAAATCCTTGAGAAGTCCACAGTAATAAAAATTTCTCAAATCCTTGAGGGACCAGATTTTTAAAACTCCCTTATCCTTTGTCTGGTTCATCTCAGACAATTTTAAAAAGTATGCATATTGCCAATTCTAGCTACTTCTAACCAGAAACTCAGGCCAGAAATTCAATGCCTCCAATGCTGCTGTCTTCCTGTGTTTAACACAATTTCCTGAGGCTGAGGAAATTTTAGAACAATGATGCTTTGGTAAGATTTCCAGGCATCTGTTTCACAAACAATGTCCTTCCCTTACTGAAATTTATTAATTTTCAGAGGGCCACTATGTTAGCTTCCTTATTAATATTTTTTTCTATTCTGGGCCATTTTACTTTTTACATAATTTCAATAACATAAGTTATTTCTTCTTTTTATCATGAACTTATAATTGAACAGAAACCAGACTTTCCACAGAGAGGCATCATACACTTTTGTAGATGTACTCACAGAGAGGTACACCCTTTTAGAAGCATGGAGTATAAAGCCGGGAAGTCCTTTGTATATCCCTGTTTCTCAAAAGGTGAAATCTTGAACTCTCTAGAACTGGTGGTGTCTGCACTTTTGCAAGTCTTTACAAAGAGAGACATTTTATTATCCCTAAGTAGTCTATTCATGACTTTCCTCACTCCCTCAAAGCAGAGCCATCCTTAGTAAATGGATTCTGGCTGTCTTGGATATTATTCTCTGCTCTTCTGGTTACACACTGACTAAGACAGAGGAGGTAAAACAGCAAAAGAGGTATAGAAATTATGACATGTAGTCAGCTCAGAAATACCCCAACTTCACCAAGAGATACATTTCTTCTTTTATATTTGTCTCCCAAATTTTGATTGTTTAAGTTGTACATTTTATTTCCATTTCCTTGGAATAGAGTTGTCTCAAGAGAAGGTCCACACAGTGTCGATTCTGACAAGTCTGTAGTCACTACCATCAGACCTGAGTGTTTCATCTCTCTAGAGAATATCATGCCTAATTTCCAATCCAGATATTTCTTAGTTTAATGGAATGTATGTTCTTTTGTTTGATTCTTCAGGCATGTGGGGATTAATGGTCAGTTCCTCCCTCCATTCCTAACCCTTTATTTATTTGGATAATAAGTTTATTATTCTTCCTCACTTCCAAGTTTATTATTCTTCCTTATCTCTCTGCCTCCCGCAGCCTTTTATTACCATATCTTCTCTGGTCAAGTAACCCTATGATTTTTTTCTTTCTATGGATTTGTTGTTTTCTGACAGGGGGTATCAGAGAAAGTTTCCTGTACATTACACTGAGCTTTCTAGGAGCTCTCTATTTCAATGAACTTTCTCATTTCTGACTTCAGAGCCAGCAGGAATTCCCCTGTATGTGTTTGTTGACCTGCTCTTCTTTTAGCTGCACCCTTTTAGCAGAATCTCCAATTCCTAGATGTTGTACAGACTATTGGTGACCTCTTCCCAATCTTTGCTCCTTAAAATAGCATCACTTCAACTCAGCTTCTTTTACTACCCAATTGTCTTATGAGAAGCTCTATACTTTTATGTATATCAAGAAGATAGCTCACTCAGTGTTCATTATTTTGTAGTTTTGGAGGAAGTCAGAGGGAAGTTGTGGGCCTGGAAATGGCAAATAGAGGCTTTAAATCTTTGGCTCTACAAGTATAAAGCCTCTCATCTGACATGTAATCTAAATAAAACAAAATAAACCAAAAAATGAGGTCTTTCTCTTTCCTCCTCTTCCTCTCCCCTCCTCTCTTCTCTTCCTTCTTTCCTCCCTCTCACCTCTTGTTCTTCCCTCTTTTCCCCTCTCTTTCCTTTGTTCCTTTTGGTTGGTATATGGAGATATATAGAGCATGCCATAGTGTGAGAGAACAGTTAATGGGGTGATAAGATAGCCTATTACAAGTATCATTGCTCCATGAGAAATAGCTATATTGAGAGCGCTTTTGCTCTCCTCTTGGACAGTGTGTCACTGCTGTCCACAGACAGTGTGCAGTCTGGCCTCAGAGACAGATAACCTATTTTTTTTTTTTTTCAGTTGTTTTGATTCATTGCTAGTCCTCTAGACCACTGGTTTTCAAACACTAATGTTCATACAAATTGGGGAGTTTGTTGCTGATTCAGTAGATCTGGGGGGGTCCTGAGATTCTATATTTCTAACAAGCTCCCAGCAGTGCTGATGCTGCTCATCATGGACCACACTTTGAGAAACAAGGATCAAACATCATTTCCTTCTGTTTTAACATTCCCACCTTTATATTTATTTATCAAATAATGACACTCCCATTAAAACAAAACAAATACCATTCCAAGTTCATAGGCAATCAGAGCTCAGAAATAGTACCTACATTTGACGAGGGAAGTTATATAAACAACCCCTTTCCTCTCTTCTATGAACAGACTCCTGCATTTCACTTTCACCTGGCAGTCTTCTTACCTCTGATTCTTGCTGCATTGTCTGTGCAATCACATCCAGAAGGATCCCAGTCACATAGACTTACTGGGAAAAACACTGAGTGGAAGAAGGGGCAAATGGGTTTAACTACCATCTTTGAATAGGCCCTGCCTTACTCAAACCTTTCCAGATTCTCTTTGGTTGAAACTAGAGTACATTCTCAGAGAAATGGCCTCTTCCCTAGATGAGGGAAGGATCAAGTAGTTTTATTCCTTCCCAGTGATATTCCTAAGAAACACAGCTGATTTGTTGTTAGAGTCTGAGCACTGACCACTGGCAATTTATGGGGATAGTTTACTATCATAGAAAACTTTCTATTCTAATTTTCTATGTATCACTAATTTTTTTTTTCATTATAGATTATCTTTACTTAAAATACAGTGAAGTGTAAGGTAAATTTTACTAATTAAAAACTTTTCTACCTAACAGAGTAAGGAGGGGGAAAAATCTGTGCCTTCCCTAAAAGTTGTTTTTTCCCTTAAAATCTTGCATTACCCCCTACTTCAATAAAAGAATAAAACCTTTCTGGAACTCAAGACACACTCCTCTGTCTATTTCATCTGAGTCCTAGTCTATTCTAATTCTGATCTGGCATCTATTTTGGGGAGA